TGTCGGGACTATTACATAGGCCCATTGGCAACCCTGGTACTCGTGCTTTCCCCACGGGAGTACGATGGTACAGAGTTGCTTCGAGTGAGGTGACAGCTCGATGTGATAGTATCCCATATTCAGGTCTAGACTAGTAGCGTACTTGAATCCATCTAATTCAAGAGCATGTCCAGTATTTTTGGGATAGGATAAGGCTTCGCTTATCTTTTGTTCAGTCCGGAAATCAGAGATGAATCGTACAGATCCATCTTTTTGGGAATGATGAAAGTTGGTGCCCCACTCGGAACGGTTTACCTTCTTGATACTCCTGCCTCGCAGAGACGTTCAACCTCCATCTTAAAAGTTTGGTATGGACCGTGAATAGGGTAAGCCCTGCATGATAAGGTTTAGCATCAGGGAGAAGTTTACTTCGTAGTCGTCCATCTGCACTTTCCCAAAGTACCATCGAATAGGTCAGAGTACTTCGTCAGTAAGGAATGAAGCTGTTCCTTCTCTTCCGTGTTAACTGCGGACTCCGCACTTGGCAAACCTGCCTTAAGTACGCTTGTTCGTATTTCGCATCATGAATCTTCTTTTGACGATCTGCACTGTCATAGATAGCGCAGGATCGGGAATGGATAAGTTCTCCTTTCCATTGGTGTCGCTCTCTTCATAGAATAGATGCGCCGTCCATTCCACTGACATGGTAGTGAAATCGAACTTGATTCCTAAGTCGGAGAGAATTTCTCGACCTATTATCATTTCATACGCCCCAAGCTCTTGGTGACGTGTAATCCCACTCGATAATTCCATCTTCGTGGAATTCAGGAATATGATGCCCTTGCACTTCGTGCTGGTTGTTTAATTCTCCTGCAGGGGTAGTTCACATCGTTTGGACGCCCCAAGATCCTTCATGCGTACATCTTTTGCATGAGGTTGAGCAATCAAGGGTTCGGATGCTCCTGTATCCAGCAAGGAACGGAGTGTACGGGTTTTTGTTTCCCTTTTTCTCGGCTGTTAAATCTAACATAAACGATGGGTTTTGAGGTCTCTTGTCTTGCGACGTTACGAGGTGGTTGGCCACGGACGGGGTTAACGTGGCTAAATAGATCATCAGAGTCTAGTTGAGCAACTTCTAGGCAATCATCTAATTTGACGTAGAGTTCATCAGTTGCAAATAATTTTTGTTTACTAGTTAGTGAGATATCTTTCATCACTTTGGTATGCAGAAATCGGAACAGGGTTCCGTTGAGTCTCATCCTGGCCAATCCTCAGATGAGATTTCTCCATCCAAGTGATTGAAATTGATAGAGGAGTTTGCCTCATTGTCAGAGTCTTATGATTTGAGCTTGGCAAGATGGTTGCGAAGTTTGTAAGTGGTGGCACGAGTGTAGTCGATCTCGTGTTCTTCGTCCTTGTCGACTAGAGGAAGAATCGGTTTGTCACGCAACTGTATCTCACACCACACAGTTGAGAGACACTCCCGACAGAATCTTATCACATGCTACGCATTCTCTATAGGCGTGTGGGATAGGTGGCACAATAGGTTTTGTAGTGGGTATAGCATCAGAAAGCAATCATATTAGCTTTCCAGCTATCCGTCGCTCATATCTGCTTTAACTAATACAATTTCCACCATTTGAAACATGCTTAACAAGGAGGAAAGGCATCGATTCCTGGCAACTATGTTGAAACTAGATTGCAGAGTGGAACACCACATTCTTTCCTCTTGTCTACGAAGTTGTGACGAAGTTATAAGCAACGTTAGAGCAGGAAGAATTATACGAAACCGATCCTACGATGAGCACAAACGTGATTAGAAAGCTACGGAAACTAATACAACAAAAAAAAAAAAAGAGAAAAAGATCATCATAACACAAACGGAAAAAAATAGATAAATAGATATAAACAATCCATGTTGCCTAGCGGCAATCAGCAAGATCTTCCTGGCACCAATCGCGGGAGCAACTGGACAATATCTTATCAAAAATTAGCTATCAGCTTGTAATAGGAGTAGGTTGATGGTCTTACGTAATATCCCTGGACACGATCTGCATTTAGGCCAGATCGCATCTAACCCGAAAACACGAACGGAACTGTTTGACATACAAGATGTTGATGGATACATAGTTGGCATTCTCACTATAATAGCGTAAGTCAAAATTGGGAATGTTTGACATAACTGAATGAACTTACGGCATTAGATGATTGCCCAACGAGGTGGCTAGACTCAATATCTAGAAGGCAGCTCATTGATTTCATTCATTATCAAGCCTATCGTTATTAGTACTTGCAGTACGCGGTGTCAGGTCAACTGAAAACCTGTCTCAACACCTCATGACGGGTATTCATTCCAAACGAGAGAGCCTAAGAACTCATAGAGAACCTCAGATCGAACTCAATCCCCTCTTTATCGGTTTAAGAGGATCGAAGTTTCGCAGAAGAGGATGAAAAAGGCATAGAAAAGAAGCCGCTGTACTATAACACCGTTTCTACCAATGAAAACCAGTCCTTTTGCCTGATGGTATGGAGAACCTCGATGCCATCTGGGCCGGACACCAAAGTGGATCAAACTGTGCAGGAAAAGTGTGTGGGAAGGAGACTTTGGTGTATGTGGACAAGTATGACACAGTTGACATTGAATTGAATCCACGAGCTAAAGGACAAATGCTTTATGTCTTTTGGTTGACCAGTAAGAATAGGACATTCGCAAACGTGCAGACGAGATCGAAGCCGAGACCAATAACGCTACGCCGTCAACGAAGAGAGCCGTCATTGTGGAGTGTTTTGGCCATTGTCGAGGAGAGGAAAGAAGGGGCATCGCTTTCGCTGTTTTCTGGTTGAATTTATGCTGCTTCGACGCTTCGACGGAAGAGGATCGACGGATCGACACGAGTCGGAGAGGTTGGCTCTTTCCCTCTCTTAACCTTCCGTTAGAAACAACCAGTAGACTAGCAACAAGTTCAATTTTCCATCTTCTCGTCTACATTGGAATTGTCTGTAGATTGTCTCAGAAAGTGGAAAAATGCTGTTGCAGCTGTGGACACGGCCTTTGTTCATTCATTCCCACAAACCGACAGTTGACAACACACATGGTTGGTTAAGAGAGGACCAACGAGGGATGGCCACCGACTGATAAACATGATAAGCCACTCGTATCCTCCTCTTTTGTTCATTTATTTCGATCCTCCTATCTTTTACTCTATCAAAATCGCGTTAACTCCTCTCTACAGAGGCTACTCCTCCTCTTGAAGAAGGCTCCACCATGACAGGCTCCTCTTGCTTGGCTAGCGGCAATAGCAGCGGCAGCCGTTCAACGATCGGTCCATGACAGGAGCTTCCGATTGACGGATCGATTGGTCTTCCACAAGCGACGACTCGGCTTATGCACACTACGAATTCATCATGCGAAACTTGTGGGAAAAAGCGAGGCGAGTATCATGTGCATGTACATGCGTTGACTGTATCGCGTCAATACAATACTAGTCAAATACGTAGACTTCTACAGGGGCCTCTAAGTAATGCGCGCGGGGTATAATTCAAACCTCTGCCCCCATCAGTACCCTTACCCCTAAAAGCAAATCGTCTCCGGGAGACGAAATTGGAGGCAGTTGAAGGGAGCGCTCAACCGCAAAAGATACCGCCATCATGCATATACAGTCTGCCCGCTGTAATAATTATAATCTTGTATTTATTGGTCGCTGTTATAATTATTAAATCTCGAGGTCCCCCCCCCAGTCCCGGGTATCCGTGAATGAAGGAACAAATCTTTCGAGCAGCCCAACAACGTCGTACAATCCATTCCAACCGTTTCAATTTGACCGAGACAGCATGTCAAATGCCGATATCGATCCAATGGAGGTGTCATTCCTGGGTACCTCTGCGGTATCTCTGCACGCACCTCTCCGAGGCTGTCTCGTCGGTGCCAGCCCAAGCCCTGGTTGTTTACGTGCATTTTTCGAAGGATGGTTTTGACGAGACAAAAACAATTCAGGTGAGCTGCCAAACAATTTCACACAAACCATACCAAAGGATCCAATCCGACCTAGACCAACATGAACGGCGCCGATTCAAACGGCGCCGATTCAACCAGAACGAAGAAAGGTGCAAAGAGAGGACCGAAAGCGGGCTCAAAGAATGCCGCTACTAACAAGAGCAGAGCTGATTGGTACGGGGCATGCCATTCCTTTCGTACAGAGTACAAGTCAATGCAAGCCAAGGCATTTGCCAGGGCATTGCATGTGGCTAGGGCTGCTAGGGCTGGCAAACGCAAACGTGACGGCTCTATCCATTCGTTTTTCACTAGTGGCTAGCCTCCAGAACGTACTATATTTAGTGTCACTGTTATATTTACTGAGATCCACCTTCCCCCCTTATATATATTAGAGAGGGCAGACTGTACGATCCACCCACTCGGCACCAGGAAACCAGCTGTTAAGTGTCAACATTAGCCTTAGCTTTAACACTGACATTAGGGTTGTTGCTAACTGGGATACCACCTAGTTACTCTAGCTAGCTAGCCAGCTAGTACGATGTACCAGCAAAAGCGACGGTCAATCTTGAGGACAAATAATACACTGCTGCGAGGGGTTTAGACTACCGGTAAGGTGGATTATCTACGGACACTGATCTACGGTATGGATGGCACTCATCATAGGCTACACCTTCCAGGATCTGTCATACAGGCAGTCGGTGATAGCTAGCTACGGTACGATAGCTGGACTTGATGATGGTGAATCCAATCGGGACGATAAGTTTGGTATTGCTTTCCCAAAACGAAAGTTAGCTGAACAACAAGAGGCGCGACCATACAATTAAATTTCGGGGGAAGTTTCAACAATATGTTGTCGCCTTGTAGCAGTCTGTGCATACCGGAACGTAGGTTGGCCTAACATATATGTACATGTACGGTACCGCATGGTGGTAGCGATATGCACCCATTTGGATGGTGGACGCAGTGAGCCTTTGCAGCCTTACTGGATTAAGCTTTACATCCACTTTTCCACGGCCAACGGTCCAAAACTGACGTGTTGGAACGAAAGTCTGCATGAAGCCTCGAACGCCAATGCCATGTCGGAAAAAAAAAATGCTGACGAGCCGAGCGATTGGTGCAACTCTCACAATCACAGATCTTGTTCCATCAACAACAATCTAAGCAACAAATCATGATAACTCCAGCACTTCTCAGCATCCTTCTCCTGATAGCCGCTTATCTGAAGCAGGGGTTTGCGCTTTCCACCGAATCACTCCGCACTCCTCCTCTTGCAACAAAGCCACAACCTGGGACAGTAGTAGTGGTTGGAGGAGGTTTCATTGGATCTTCGTTTTGTGCTGTCTACCTGGCAAGCGGGAAACGTGTGGTCTGTAGTGACCCCTTTGTATCCGAAGCAGATCTGAAGAAGCGAATCGAGACAGTCTGGCCCACCGTAAGAGCTCGCGGCATTGGAGGCAAAATTGATTCCTGCCCCAAAAGCCCTCCTTGTGAGAGATTGAGCTTTGAAAGTAGCGTGGAGACAGCATTGAGGGAAAATCCTACACAGTTTGTACAAGAATGTACAATAGAGGACATTGAGAGTAAGCAAGAAGTGTTGGCCCGATTGGATGAGCTCTTGGCCGATCAACCGTCGACGATCATTTCCAGCAGTACCTCTTACATCCCTCATGAGCTCTTGATCACAAAATGCAAACATCACAAGGATCGAGTATTGGTCGGGCATCCAACAATCCCTTATTTGGATTCCTTCTTGGAAATCTATGGAACGTCTCAAGCTCATGTCAACGCCGCACAAGCTTGGTATTCTCAAGCTGGATTTGAAGCGGTCGTCATGAAAAAGACCATTCCAGGACATCTCTTCAACTCATTCCTTACCATGAACATGCGCCATGGCAACAAGTTAGTCAAGGACGGAGTTTGTACGCCCCAAGACGTGAATGTTGTCTTGCGGCATCTTGGTCGCTTCATGTACGCTCGTCATGGCTATCTGAGCTTGTTGTCCACCATCGGTGGGGATCGCGGCCTCAAGGGAGGCATGGACTTGTCCGCCAAAATCAAAATGAGCGCCATTTCGATTGTCTTTTATTCCTTACTGAAGAAAGTGCATTTCTTCTTCAAGGGCTCTTGGGTGCGGCGGATTGCGGATTTTATGGCCAAGAAATTGCAGGATAAGGTCGAACCACCACCCGCACAAGAGTGGATTGAAGCTTGTGGGGAGTTTGAAGCACAGGTGACCAAGAATGGCACACTTTCAGTTCCCACTGGATTGTTTCAGGCTTGCGAGCCAATGTTTCAGAGGACACCATATGAAGTTGGGAATGATCCTTTTGCCATTGAAGGCCCCAGTGACAAAAAATGAAGCCTTGAATCCTCTCTCGCATTTTGTCATGTATTCACATCCTCATTTTAGAAAACCATTTTAGAAAACCATTTTAGAAAACCTAGCTACTAGAATTCAGAAGAAGCCTGTCTTGTAGGCTTTGTGCCTCCCTGGCTGGGTGGGCCTCCAAGCCACAATAGCCGAAAGCAATCCATCGGCAAGTTTGAAAGCATTGACGGATCCTCAGGCCGGGAGAGACGCGTTATTCAAGCCTCGGCAGCTTTACTGGATTAATCTTTTACCTGCACTTGCTTGGTGATCGACGTCCAAAGATCTTCCAATCTTTGAGATATCTTTAGTCACGTGGCAGTCGTGACTTAAATCATTAGCCATTTCTTGTTTTGCCTGCCCTGCCAACTTCTGTGGCATGTCATTGGTTCCTTTGCTCTCGGCTAGCAACTGAGGACACCCCCTATAACACATCGTATCCATTATTTCAAGCCATTATTTTCTTCCTGACCAAGCACACTTGGGAAAGGGGAAAAAGAAAGAGGTAATCATCATTTTATTAGCCAGCACTGTCTTGTTATGCTATCATTATTTGCCCCCAACACACGGGTGATCCTTCAGGGTCTGAACAGCAAGCCGGAATGGAATGGTACCAAAGGCACTGTCCAAAAAGGCAAGTTGTCGGATCCTCATCAGAGAGCCATTCATGTCGATGCCGCCGACAAGACAGTCGCCATTAAGGTATTCAACATGAAATATGAAGATGCCACACTGGAATACAAGCATCGCTTGCAGGACAATGTCAACGAGGCAGTGAGGATTCAGAAGGAGAAGAATAGTAGTCAAGAAGCGATTCAAAAGCTCCGAGAGAATCTCCAAGAGGCCGAAGAACTCATGAGACGGCTCCCAGAAATGGACGACGGAGTGGCAGTGCCACCGTATACCCACATGGCATGTGCGCGTCGAGCTTCCCAGCAATTCTCGCAAGACGACTGCGTGCCTCCGTCTGAAATGACATGCCATGCCCACGGCTTTTTAAAGCTCACCCGTACAGCGTTGGGAGAAGCATTGGAGGCAGCCGAACAATTTGAGGAAGCATTGCCCCTCTATCATGCGCTAGTCGAACAGGCTAAACAAATGCGCCAGGATATTTGGCAAGACAATAGCGAACTGCACTTGTACATGAACTCGTTGGCATTGTGCTACAAGCGGGCAGGACAAATCCCAGAGGCCATCAAATGGTACCAAGCGACTCTACAAAAGATGGAGGAAGAAGGCGGTAGTCCCCACAGGGGCACGGTCGAGCACAATTTGAAATGTCTAGTAGAGAATAATGAGGAGGAGGATATCAGCAACTTTCAATCGATTGATCCAGTCCATGCAGATGCTGTCAATGACATGGAGGCATTGGCCAATGCCCCTCTGTTTGAACAAATTTTGGCGCAAGCCATGCGCTGTGGTATGGAAGGCGACATGGATCGTAAAATGGAGTTGATTCACCAGGCTATTGCGGTGAGCCCAGAGGATCCACGAGGACACTACAATCTCGCCGTGCAATATATGAGAGCAGAAGAGTATGAAAATGCCACCGTTTCATTTATGAGAGCCATGAAGTGCGTGGATATTGAGCAGCATAGAGGCATGGAGGAACTTTGGGCCAGGTCGGCTGCCAATGTCTTTCTCTGTTTTGACCACTCCCTCGTGGATTCACTACCAAAACCGGACTGGATGTGCCATGCACAGAAAATGATGCAGGCAGGTCTTCGAGCCGCAAAAGGTGCGCCTGACTTTAATGAAGCCTGGAATATGCTCGGCAGTGCTATTGAAGAGGGCCCGAATCCAGCAGCCGCCATCAAATGTTTTGATCAAGCAGCGCAGGTATCGGAAACAGAAATGAACCGTCGCAAGTACTTCATCAAAGCGCGAGAATTGGAACAAAGGCTGTCCTGAACAAACGGGCAGCTAGTCTAATAACTAGCTAGATTGGATTCTTACAGTACTACATGTAGTATGTGCTATCAGTGCACGTCCTGCATTATAGTTTTAGCACAATACAATACAATACGCTGTACCGCGTACTGTACGGGTTCGACCATACCACACGAGACAAAGTAAGCACCAGAACAAGTACTGAGCTCCCTTTGCGATTAGTAGCATCGCCTAGATGGCCAAGTCATGCAGTGCAGCCATCTTCCTTATAACTCCTTGGTCCAGGCGGGAAGAGACTCAGTTTTGCTTCGCCCCCAACTGGAACCACGGTTGCCCTACAAGAATAGCTAGCTGGTATAGTCCAGTCTTTGATGTTTAACACGTGTTAAGCAGAGGGGAGCTACACTGGGAGTGGTGGATCTGCAACCGAGGACTTGGACGTACCCGGTAGCTCTTGCTGACCTGGTGCATTCTTTTCTCTCTGGGCTTGTTGTGTCCATTGTGGTGATGTCACCTAGGTGAGGACCTCACCTCTTGCTACGATGCATACTCTAGCTAAGTGGCGCAGTAGCACGAGACGGAAAGCTGAAGCTACGAGGTAGCTGCTTTGGTCCTCTGCTTGGCAGGAAAAGAAGCATTCTACGTACTGTGCTAGAAACGTCAGGTCCGCACTTAGTTTTCAACAGGAGCTCCTCCATACTTGTTCTCCGCTTCATTCCGATCTTTCTTCAGTTGCTTGAGCTGGAGTCTCCAAACATGCTCCAGAGACGTTCTACAAGCTTCAAAGGCGGGCAGCGCTTCTTCCCAACTCTCTACCAACCACTTGGAGTCGTTCTCTGGTGTCACGTCGGTCGACAAGAGAAAGTTGACAAGATCCTGCACACCTTGGCTTGACGTAGAGATGTTCTCCACCAACACATACACTGGCTTCCGGCTGAGCTTGGGGGTTGGCATGACCATGAGGTTTCCCTCGCTGGCGATGCAGTTGATCAAGTAGTGCAGGTACAAGAAGGTGTTGGGGTGGTCCGAGTTTGGCAACGTTACCATGACTGAGCCTCCGTCGTCGATTGATTGAAGGGCAAAAAACAGCTCGTTTTTGATGATCTCTTGCATAGCCAGCCGATGGTCACGCTGTTCCGACCTCGTGTCTTCCGCCGTCTTCTCTTCGGCTGATTGATCCTCCATCTCCGACTCGTCTTCTACTTTCTGTACAGGTTTCCGCCATTGCAATGTGATGCCCAAATTTATGAAATCAAACGTTTCGCCTTTGAGAACATCATAAAGCTGTGACTTCCAAGCACCCGGAACACTCATGTCACACTCATCCGAGAAGTGACAAGTCGTCGAGTGAAACTTCATTCGAAAACCGCCATCCTCTTCTGGCAGAGAAAATGCAACCCCCGTCATGCCCAGGCGGTCGCAAAGAAACGCAGGCAACCCTCCCGGAGCACTTCCGATATCGCAAAAACGTCCGTTCCTGTACTGGGTCAGGTGCTTCTCGAGGTATTTCCTGTAATGTTTCTTATAGGGACCGAAGCTGGGCGTCACTGGCTGTCCGTTTTGAGCACGTTCATGAGTCTCAAAGTACTTGCGCCGGGCATCAGCTGCGGCTTCCATTGCTCGTGAACTCTCATGGAGTTCTTTCTCTTTGCAAAGACGACGATAGTCTTTGCTCGCGGCTCTCAGAGCATCGTAAAACGACATGTCATTGCTTGCCTCGCCTTTGCCGTTTTCTTGCTGCTTCTCGTTTGGATTGTTTTCAGGCACTCCAACTACAGAGTCTGATCCCGTCGTGACCTCCGCAGTAGCAGCGGCCGAGCTCTCTTCATCCTCCATGGTATCATATACCAATGTTGAGCCCAATGAGACGAGTGCGGAAACTGGTATGGCAGATTGTTCACATCGCAGTTGGAAAGAAAGCTTGGAATGCCATAATATTCGAAAATTTCTTGGCTCGTAGAAGGCGTACTACGTGGTATCAGATCTCATGCTCTAGCTAGACGAGTGCATCCGCAGACAAAGAGCCTCTCCCCGTTTGAAATTTTCATATTACTCCATGTGCTGGTTACCGTCGTTCTACCATCCACGACTTTCATTCGATAAGGGGTTGCACCAGCCTCCGCTCCATAGAAGACGCCGGTACCGTACGGTATGTAGTGCTCAGAGGCAACAAGTCCAGTCGGTGTGCATAGTAGCAATCCCTGCATGTTTCTGCGCTGTTGGACGCGCAAAAGCCAAAGATGGCTGCCCAACTGTAGGTGGCACCGATAAGATCAGATTGAATCATTTGTTTGAAGCTACCCATTGATGTCTCCCTGGATCCCGCAAAGCCAAACCATTTGGCCCTGTTATGGCCCTCAATTTCTTGCCCTTGATCCCATGGAACCTAGTCCTGAATTTGGACTCATCTTTGCTTAATAAGTCTGGCCCTGGCTGGTTTCTGTAGATAATCTACCTACTCTGAACCCCCATTGTTATTGGTTCGTTTGTGGCTTGCATCCAGCAGCCACCGTTGGATGGAGTTGCCGGCTATGGTACGGTTCGATGGTGCACCTCTGCTGCTGGAACGATGCAAGGTACCGTACCTTGGCTCCCTCCAAGTTTAGAGTCATCGTGTGATGTCTTTGTCCTTGTCTCTGCGAGCTCACTCGTTCATCTGACATGCATCATGGGATGATGCGATGTCTTGGAGGAGTCGACTCACATGCAGCAAGTGGACTACGGACTACTCACAGATGTCCTGTTCAACAATAGGAATTTAAAATGTCGCTGATGAGACCTTGAGATAGCTGAAAATACATCGCCAGTTCTGCCAGTGGATCTGTACAACCATCCAATTATGCCGTACCCGGAACATGTGGTGGTACAATGTTACTTGTAAGGATGCATGGACCATGATATGTTACTTGTAAGGAATCCGCCAAAAAGAGAGTTCCGTGAAAGGAGAAAATTGGAATTTGTGAGCGCATGTGGATGACGTTTTGAAAGGAATTCTGACGTTCGTCTCAGTCAGGCATTGTTTTTCATACTTATGAGAGGAGGTGACCAACTTGATAAATTACTTATCCGCATTGTGTCGCACGTACCATGAAAAGTTTTCGGTACAAATTGTCATTAAATGTCCAAAAGATCCGGTAAGGCTGAGAAGTTGCGCTGACGAATGCAAGTTTTTCACTTTTATTCTTGAAGGTTGGCGAAACGAGGATGCTATTGGGGGCTGGGATGTCACCCCACAGTGCAACTACAATTATCCTCCTGCTTCGAACTCTGATGATATAGCCGAACACTCACTCACCCACAAGCAAAGCAACAAGGAGGCAAATCCATCGCAAGAGCTGACAGAAGAAACAACCATGATGAGAAAGAATTGGTTGCAATCCCTCAAGAATTTGTTTGATAGCTCCAACAAAAAGGACGACGCAACGACGTTTCGCATGTCGCCCCTGGATCTGTTCAATCCACTCCACGAAGCAGCGTTCCCAACCCGGTCGATAACAACGACCGAATCCTGTTCAATCCATCGAGTCGAATCGAAGGGGCGGAGAACGAGCGCCATCACCGCGGCGTCCTCTTCATCCGACCTGAACGACGAACTGGACAGTCTCAGCTGCTCGTCCATTAGCAGCTTTGGCAGCGACAGCTCTCGCGTCTCCTTTTCCCTGCAAGTACGTGTCCTGGAGATTCCCTCTCACAGAGACTATCCGGAAGATACTCGAGGCGCCCTCTGGTCCAACTGGGACGATCAGCAACAAGACCTCAAGCGAAACTTATTCGAGTTTGCCGTCGATGGCATGGACTGGAGATTGGCGACCGAAGAAGAGCACTTTGCCCCCTTGCCATCCGGCGAACTGGTACATCCCGCAACGTGGATCCGGTCCGCACCGTCTCCCCGACTCTCTTCGAGACGACGAAAATCACGACAGAGTCGCAATCATAATAATAAGAGCCACACGACGCGACCGTCTCCGCCAAGCTACCTCCCACGTAGACAACGCCCAGAACCAACGATGATGGCATCTGCAATACAGAGACCCATGTACCTGTCGCCCTACATGAGACCAAAACATTGGCAAGACTATCAGGGACACACGGCCAGCAGCCCCATGTCGTCGTCGTCGTCGTCGAGTCCAGCAGTCCTTCTACCACGCAAAAACCGTGCCCGAAATGTCTAAACAGGATCCTTTGTTGCCGCCATTGGCAGTACTACGGTTCGCATGTTTCATATACTGAAGTTCTATACATCATGTAATACATATCCACTAGTAGACAGCTCTTACGTCGCTCTCTTCCTCCCTATGTATCAGCCAATACAAGCCGTACCGTGGTACGGTATATGTGTCTGGACCGCTGACTATCTAGCTAGTAGCTACTCTAGCTAGCTAGATGGCCAGTCCCTGGCTAACTAGTCTAAGTCGAAACAATGTTACCGTAACCGGCCCAGTAGAGTAGAAACAGGTGTGGGTGTGCATGTGTGCATTGTCAAAAAGCAAGTGCCGGCACTTGCATCCCTCTGCATTGGAGGATTTGCATACTATCTATTGCCCTTGAACCGGTACAGCAAGCTGGGGATACGGTACGGTAGCCAACCAACATCTCCCTGCCAGCCATTGCTCTGGAAACCCATAGCACTTGTGGATCTAGCTACTAGATGTAAACAATAGAGAGCAAAAGCTATCTGTGAGTGCTAAAGTTTTTTTTTTGGGTTGCTTGCAACAAGGGGGCTCAAACCCTTTCGTGCTTTTCTCCTGCTACTGGCTATTGAATCATGGACTTGATGGCAGGCCGGTTATTCTGTGAACGTTGCTTTTCCTATTGCTGCTGCCCCTTGGGTATCATATCACTTTTGGCAGCTAGTAAGAATGATGCCGACACTGACAGCGTGGCAGCTGCCGTTGGTCTGGAATCCCAAGAGCCCTTGTGGCTTCGGACAGTTCCGCACACCCAGGTGGGGGGTACTATGAGGCGAATTGTGCAAGCGAATGATCGAATGCTCGTGGTTCACGATTGCCTTGTTTGATCAGTTCATGCTCGCGCTACTACAGACATGTACCCTCAGGCGGCGACTACCTCGTTTCGTGTTACTCTGTCACATACGGTACTCTGGCAGAGTGTTGTGTCGAAGGTCCATGATGCTAGAAACTTGGGACGACTACTGTACGGTATGGTAGGAGACCATTTGTCAAAGCACACGATTATTTCCATGCTCTATGAAATATGCAAACGAAAATGTTCTATGCAATAAGCAAGCGTCCTCTTGCAATCAGTTGCCAAGAAGAAGGCGCACCGAGCGTCACAATCGCCGGAAGCAAACACAACGGAGCTTCCGAAATCAAAATCGGGGTTGATTTCACTTCTTCTGATGCTGGGCAAGGTTATCCAGGATATTGCGGAATTGTTGCTGGCTGAACGCCGTCGCCATGGCAAATCCCGCGGCAAAATCACGCGATGCAGTTGGATTTACCGTGGCCGGTGTGGGAGCAGGCTGCATCGAGAGATGGTTTGCTGTGGCCAGAGCCGACAATGTGGTCCGTTGGCCCTGTTGGCTGTGAAGCAGAGCAGAGGCTGCTCCCGGTGTGCCCAAATAGGCGGGAAGAGGCAGGTTGGGAATCGTCAGGGTCGGCCGCATCGTCACTGTGGCCGGGGGCACACCTAGGCCACGGAACTGACTCTCAGAGGCAGCAATTGTTTGCTGGAACGAATCGAGAACAAGACAATCGCCCGGTGCAACGTGGGTGGCCAATTCTGTCTTGTTCGGTATCGGCACCTTGGGCAAGAATCCCATGCCTCCCGGATAGATGGGGACTCTAGCCTTGGGTCCACCTTGGAGCACACATTGCAGTAGTATGGACTCATCCGCCGCTACCTTCTCGGGTACAGGGTGTAGCTTGCTAATGGCATACAGGTCAGGTTCGTGTGCAGGGTCTGCAACCTTTTTCTCTGCGACACCTGGCCTCTTCACGTCCTTGCATAGGTGTGGCAAGCCGCGAAGGAACTTCTCATGATAGTAACTGCATAAGGGATGAAGAAAGGAATCAGCAACTGACAAGATGAATTTTCCAGCTAGCATGAATTTTCAACAAGCCAGGATTTCTTACCAATTTCTGTCAGCCCCTTGGGTGATACGGCGGAATCCCCAACCATTTGCTTGACGAACAAAACTACTAAATTCTACAGGACGCAAAAACCAAATCAGTTTGCTGCTAAGACAACCAACATCAACACGTCACAGTCCCCTCTTTGGGATGTACTTACTCGCGTGTTCAAAAAACTTGGGCAGCACTTTGACCTCAAATTCACGAGGCTTCAAAACTCGCCATGCCCTTCCGTGTGGTTGCCAAGTTACAATTCCACGGAGGTCAGTTCGGCTCAGAATGGCGTGCATCTTGGCTGGGAAATTTGGTACTCTAATACATCATGTCACCAGGCAGCGAAAAATGTCAAGAAAAAACACAAAAAAGACGCTGAGAAACAATCCCATGAACACAACAACCCCCAACCAGAGCTAAAACTAAAGATAAACAAACCTTCCGGGGACTGTCAATGGAGTCAGTGGGTCGTTATCGGGAACCCGGGAAAAGTCCTTGTAGAAGAAGAAGGGAGCTGGACGCATCACACGGATGATAGGTGCCTTCTTGACAGGCTTGAGAGGTCTTGATTCTGCATCTGTTTTAACCATTTTGTTGCAATCTTGCATCTCTACGTCCTCGTCTTCTCTCTTTCGTTTGCTCGTTGCCAAGGAAGCAACAGCCGATGCTGCCATGTGCTCGTCTGGACTGAAGCCCAGATGGTCCATGTTCATTATCTCGTCTATCTGTGGTTTAGAGTGGAGCGAGAAGGGGCTGCAGATGTCGTTTGCAGAAGTCCGCGGGTTCGAGTTTTTGGTTTTTCTAAAGGTTGCTTTGCTGCTGCTTGCCAGCTTGGGTTGATGTTGTTCTTCGGAGGTGTGAAAAGGGTGATCGTGAGCGAGGCACCGTGAGGCCGTGAGGGCGTGAGGGGAACCTTCAAAATTGGCTAGCCTTTTTCAGAGAACAATGTTTTGTCGTGGAAAGGTCCAAGAAGACAGACTGATTTAACGGATGGTTCACCGGAAGTTGAGGGGATTACATGTACTAGTAGGCTTGTTACTACTACTAGTAATATTTTATTAATTAATAATACTCTAGAGTAGTAGAAATTTTGGCCAAAGGACCAATGCTCAAATACGTGTAGGTTTCCCGCAACTACATTAAGCTGTCTCAGGTTGGTTGGAGACCCCGGTATGGGCAGATCGCTAGACATTTGAGTGGCTTTCATGAGCTGGCTGGCTAGACATCATTGGACAGAGCCACCTTAATACCTTAACCAACCACGAAGCACCAGTGGTGTTGCTGAGCCAAGCTCTCTGGTTCCTTGCTCCTCTTTCGCTACGAGCTACCGGCCAGGCTAGCTACCGGTAGGAATTGCATGTAACAGCCGACAAAGATTGATCGAAAACGAAGCCTTTTTGTGTATTGCCATAGCTTCTGAAACAGTTTTAGATTCATGAAGCAAGTCCATTGTGTTCAGCGCCCGCAGAACAGTGTATCTGTTTGACTCAATGCAAACTATTAATAGCTAGCAGTGTTGCACACCAACAAGTGCCCTCTGCTCCACCTCCTTGGGAGCCGAGCCTTCGATTCCAAGCTTCGAAGGAGCTGAACTACTGAACTAGTTCTCAAGAGACTATACAAGAGCACTACAAGTACGATCTGTATGCATAGATCTTGTCTATCTGCCAGCACATGATCAATCATGTTTTCAAACTGAGCGAGGCAGCTACAGCGTATTCAGGCTCGTGCTGAGGCCAGCACCATGAAACTGCCACCAAGGAACGTACCGGTACGGTACCACAGCAGGGTATCCCCAAAAGTAACCTTTGAAACCCTGCGTAGTTGACACAATAATCCAAGCTCTGCTCATCCATCAAACAATCATGACGGCGGACCAACATACGTGTAAACCTTGGCCGAGCTGAATCCCCATGTCATGTGAAGCAGTTGAATGGTTTTCTTCCACAACTGTTGGTTCTCTTCAGTTTCGAATGGCTTTAGAGCTGACAAGGCAATTACCACTTTTAACTTTCCATGCCGTCGGTGATTGTCCATAATGATATTGGCGACATGGTCGGCCAGATCTATGGGGAAGCAAAGCGAGGAGAGGTAGATGTGTGTGGCATTTGAGAAATCCGCGTCGACGATATCTTGGTTCCACAGTTGCACTCGATCCTTGTCCACGAGTTTTTCTTGACCAGCTTCCTCTAGTAGAGGAATCCTGCAGATTGTATCTTCGTCACTTAACCCACATGCCCCTTGTAGATCTTCCCACGCCTTGACCGCCATGACATGCCTCGGTTTACAGAGCTCCACACCAATGGCAATGGAAGTCACATTCTCCAGGAACATTTGAATTACCAATTTGCCAGCTCCTGAACCCAAATCATAGAACACGATTGGCTCTCTGTGAATGTTGCTGTCTTCTTCGTCGTCTTCCCAGAGTGTTTCCAGACCAAAAAAATGAATCATTTGGCGCACGCCAAAGGGTGTCACTTCGCCGTAGGTGAACTGAATGGCGTCGTGGTCCTGGCTGTCTCGAAGCCATGCGCCATTTCCTTTCCAATGAAATTCCAGTATTTCATCGATGCGGTCTCGGCCTTGATAGGTTTCTCCCTTGCGAAGGGGAACTGCCAAGTCTTGCAACCGAGATTCTTCCACCAGCTCTTTCAGGGATTTCATCTTGCTTGAATCGGAAGATCACAGCAATCTATTTTTGGATATCCACTAATAACTGTTCACTGATTGCACAAACACTGATTGCACCGCAGCTAGGCAGCGATTCCCAACAAAGCCATGCCGCACTGTACCGATATCCGGACAGATGCGGCAAGGGGTATACGGCATGGAGAAGATGCTGCAAGGGAGAAAAAGAGGAGAGACGAAAGCCGTGGAGGGAGATCACGGTTGGAGTGGCTGGAAGTGTCCTGCAACCACTGAAATAAGCTGGCTAAGCAGTGTCAGGATGCTTTTCAAAAGATCGCTTGAAGTTTGCACCACATCCGTATCGTACCAAAGCAGGATAGGTTCGCTCTACCGAAGATATTGTGAGCAGTGAGACATTCCGATGGGTAATTTTCAATTTCACAGATTGACTTGTCATGCATGATGGAGATGGAAGAGCTTTTACAAGGGCTACCTGATGTCAAGGTGGAGAGAGTTTGCTGGGGCTGCCAAACAGCGGAGCCCGCTGGCAAGAGATTCGAGCAGTGTCCCCAATGCCATCAAGAAGGCCTTGTCCCAGCAGTATTCTGCTCCCAGAAGTGCTTCAAGAAGGCTTGGCCAAGACACAAAAAATGGCATAACCAGGAAGCTATAAAACGGAAAAATGATATTGCATTTGACACTGATGAATTTAAAAAAATCCTAATAATGTGCATTTCAAGTCTGCTTCGGAATATTATGAAGCTGATGCTGATTTATTCCAAGACTATTCTGACATGGCAATGGAATGTGCTACAGAAATGGCTGAACGCACAGAGAAGGGCAGAGAAGGTTGCACTGGTGTGGAGAGGGGGAGCTGGTTTGTGGGTTCTGATCCATGGTCTTGTCAGTCCTTCTGGTTTGACAATGAATGGCAATTTTGGCACTGTCTGCTTGGATTGGTTGGAAGAGAGCCGAGTTGCAGTGAAGGTGGATGGAATCAGTGCATCTAAACAGATCAAACCCAAGAATCTACTGGAAATCCCCTTTTCAGAGAAGAATGTGGCCCTCATTTCAACTTTGAGGGAAGAGGACCAGCTTAAGTATGTAAGAGTTTCCAGAGAACTGAAACTAGCTCATGTTTTGGTGGAATGGATGTGACATTGGGTGCCTGCATTGCATCACATTCTGCTTCCTATACTAGCACTTGCTCGTAGCCCATCAATCGCTGCATTGCCTTGGGTTGGTTACATAGCTGAGAATGGAAATCAGTGAATGGATCATTCGAAATGCCTACGAGTGGCTTGATACATCCAAATAGGGGCCTAACTAGGTACTACTGTATGACCTGTGTTGAGAGTGTAAAAATTAGTAAAAGATCTGGTATAACATGAGGGGTGCATGCATCAGCTTGGATTCAACCATGAGAAAGTTCAGCCATGCTGACTCCGGAATGCTGCTGTATTCTTGTTCAGCAGCAATCTCTTTTGCTCCAATTCGTAATGAGTATCATCGTGTTCTGCACCAGGTTGTATTCAACCATATCAAGTTCCGCTTTTTGAGACTCTAAGGTTTAGAAGACTCTTGCGCCACAGTTCTACTACGAATTCATCAACCAAGATATTCTCATGGCTAGCTAGTTTTTTCACTATTTTGCTCACTAGCTAAGACAGAAAATGCTTGAATTGAAAGTGTGTCAATCCACTGTACGTAGGCCGTCGATGCGACGACGTGCAAGACGATCGTGTTCCGTATGCCGCTGCCAATTCACACAGTGTAGGATTCATGGAGAGAAGATGATATATCCCATCGACATTGTGCCGTACATTCCAGAGTGCCATGATCCATTTCTCGACAAAGGGATCGACGTCTTGGTCGTCTTGGACAAAGTCCAGGGGTAGTTGTGGTTGGTTAGCATTGTCGACATCTCCTTGTAAGAGTTGCTTTCTCCCCAATTCATTCAACCATAGAAAAAGCCGAGCCTGTGCCACTAGTTCTTCGGGAAGCGTCACACTGTTGTTATGCATGTCGACTTCGCAATGGAGCAATGTCATGTTGTGTTCGAGTAGATTGCAAAAAGCTTCTTGTCCGGCTCTGGAAATGGTGGCATTGCCACACAAGGAAAAGTATTGTAGTGTTTGATTCCGTTCCAAGGCGGATGCGACCAACAAGATGGGATCTTCCTCCAATTCGGGCGGTGCTGCTGGTTCCGTTGTATTGTCGTCTGGCTGATCAGCTTGTTCATTTTCTAGTTGCTGTTGGTCTGTGGTGATTGTTGTTGAAATAGAAAGCCGGACCAACTCTTCGAGCTGCCACGTGAGATTCTGAAGACTGGTATTGACAAAGAGCATTTGGGCCAACGCCGTGCATCCCACTCGCCCAATTTGATGGCAGGCAATTTTGAGTTCTTGGACCGTCTGCGAGGTTTCCAACGCCGCTGCCATGGCCACCAAATGTCGATCGTGCAATTCAAAGGATTCCAATGTCAATTTGGTCAAACTCGACGAAAGACACAGTTTGTGGAGACTGGAGGGAGTCAAACATCCTAGAGAATTGGCTTCTTGTCCCGTCCATTCCAGCCATTGCAGGGAGGGTAGATTGGTCATAGTATGTTCCATCAAACTCGATAAAACGTAGCGACCAGCTTCTGCTGTGTTTGTTGTTTCTGAATCTACCCCATCCTCATCCTCCTCATCATCATCATTAGCTGCAGTATCGGTGATTGCTGTCAAATCCATGGTTTCTTGTGCTAATCGACATCCTACCAATCCACAGCTTTGCAACTGGAGCCCGCATTCTCGCAATGCCAATTCCAACTGTTTCCACTCCTCCAAAGAATTTCCGTGCAATTCGATATCAAAGAGTGCCAACCGCGCCAACTGCGGTGCTTGCCGTAGTACCAACACGAGTGCCAACACGGACAAGACGAAAAAGGGCATGGCTTGTTCTTGACCGGAATCAATCCACAATCGACACAGACGAGGCAGTCGACTCAATGCATCGAAAACTTCCATGACTTGTTCAATGACCACATCGGCATCGTCTCGTTGTTGAAATGTATCGTGCAATTCCAAATTCACTTCTTCCACACTGTGATTCTCCCGAATCGCTTCCAACAAGGGAACCAGCTCGATTCGATACTCCAACTGCAAATGCAACTTGAGGATACTATTGTCTCGAAGGCTCTGCAGTAGACCATGGTCCGTGCCACCAGCAGACATCATGGTATGGTATCTTTACTATAATACCACTAGCTAGCTAGCTAGCAAAGTTGACCACTTCGATTCAATTCAATCGTAGAGGTTGGGATGGTGCCAACACCAAGAACTAAAGGGAGTGGTAACTAAGAGGAAACTACCGGTACGCTGAGGAGGGGCCAGTGAAGGTTGTGGTGTTGCTAAGATAAACAAATACGAAATAGATACGTTACGGGGCGAGGGGGGCTAAGCTAGGCAGAGCACTGGCTGCGGTGGTGGGCTTACGGGGAGAGCAATGAGGACAGGAGCAGTGAAAGGGGGGGGCAGGGGAAGGGGGGGTGCATGGAGGAAAACGAGGCAGGAGAAGGGAGCAAAATTAGCGGAAGAGTGCAAGTGCACCATCGGCATCTCAGAGAGAACGACGGTAGCTCATTGTGCCAGCAGGGACACGAGAGCCACGCATGCAGAGGTGGCGGGCCCGAAGAATAGCTACTAGGCTGAGCCGAGCAACAACCTAGCTAGCCATGCACCACTGAGTAAGGGCGTTCCCACTTTGCAGCGAGCAAAGCGGAAATACGTTTGGCGAGTGCCTCAGCTTCGGCCCCAAGGAGACCATCAGCAGAGACAACAAACGGAGTAAAGTGGCCGGGTTGGGAAAGACAGGCATCGAGATACTTGTCGCGTTCGCCATTGCTTGGAGGGAATCCAAAAAATGAGTCGATTCGTGGAGTGACTCGACTCACCATCGATGAAGCTTCGGATCGAATGATTCGATTCGATTCGATTCTGATCGAACATTCAATCTCACGGTCATGGGAATTGGTACCTGCACCTTGGGGTAAAAAGATTGATTCTTGGAAAAAAGCTATAAACAGTTTTGTTAAAATTTACAAGATAACCAGCTGTCTTAAAGTATCAGACGATGACTCTGTCTTAAGACGGCTGTCTTATAGAGTATAAGACCGTCTTAAACATAAGACAGTCATTGTCTTAAGATGGTCATTGTCTTATACATAAGACGGCGTCTGAAACATTCAGGGGATGTGGAGATTGTTTAGTCATTAAATTATAAAACTACTCCATCCTCCTGACACAAAAAAGACATCGTCTTAACATAAGACAATGACTTCTTTAAGACGGTCATCGTCTTAAGTTTAAGACGGCCGTCTTAAGACAGAGTTATTGTCTTATGCTTTAATTAAAAGACAGCTGTCTGAGTGGGACTCAACTTAAAAGAGTGATTTTCTTTTTTCCAAAAAGAGTTTTTTCAATTACCTCTGTTTTACCTGGAGGTGCTGGTACCGGTACCACCAGTTTCGGTACCAGTACGCTGTACACGTACCGGTATCGGTACCCTGGAACACTCTCGATAAAGTCTTTTAAAGATATATGACCGGCACTGCTTTTAAATCATATGGCCTAAATGACAGAAGAAAGTTTCCCGACAATGTCCCGACATTTTCCGACAAATGCAGA